GATATCTAACTCGATTTTGTCAGTTTTTACAATAGCCCGTTTTGGATTTTCACCCCTTATACCCAAACTCTGATTTATGGAGCTTATAAGTTTACTTGGGGACCATATTTTCAATTTTTTGATATTTTTCCAATTATACTGTAATGTATTACTAACCAACAGCGATTATATTACACATTAGTACAATAGTAAAATAATCATGTATTTTAATAATAATTGCTATATTCGTACAAGGTACATATTATTATAATTTTTTTAAATTATTTTTATTAATACATTTATTTATATTTTATAAATATATTAAAATAAATAAACATAGGTAATAATACCTTAATTATAAGAAAAAGCTACCCTAGTCTATAACCTATTTAACCTGCCCCTAAATCCACCACTGATTATAATACGAGGAGTGTCCAGTGGCGATACAAACTTCTATTTATCAAATGAGAATCCTCCTCCTTAGTGCATGTTATTTAGCTGATTGTTTAATTGAAAATGTCGATGTATATAAATTAAAATTTTATATTAAGTAATGTCCAAGTTATTAAAAGGTTTATACTTCGAATAATAATCCTTAAAAACTGTTTTATGACAATATAAGCTCTATTATTATGCAGGTAATATTAAATGTAGTATTTATTATACCTGATCATTTTTGAAAATTATTTAGATTGATGAATGAAAATTAATTAATAACATTTTTAAATCATTTAAGCACCCATAGATCCTTAACACATCAATATAGACATATTATGTCCTTAGAAGGTAGACAAAGTTATACAATCTTAAATATTTGAAATTCTGGTATTAAATAAATATTAAATAGGTACCTATTGACAAAGAGGCAATTATATTAATATTCATAAAATGGGTTTTACACGACAAAATTAATTTACATTTTAAATTATATTAACAAATATGAACAGTTTAAATAATAACATAAATTAAATAAACAAAAAAATAAAACATTTTTAATTACACTTGTTGATACACTTATACGGACAGTCCCTATGCATGTAAAAGTGTGAAGTGTCCGGTGTGTATTTTTTTTGCTCTCGATTTCCCGATTGACGTCGATGAATTTACTAGGGAAAAAACATAGATATGTTCGATATTATATACTTTTGTTAAGAGGACGCTACACCCGCATGTGTTGTGTCCGTCTTACACACGTACGACATAGACAAAACGCGTTTAGGCAGTCTGAGTATAACTCGCTCAATTTTGGTTCGAGAGTAAAAATACCTATTATGAAATTGAATTGTGATAATATTTCTAAGGGCAAGACGCTGCGGTTTTTTTAAAAAATTTAATTTTTTAAAAGTCAAAGGTATTTTAAAAATGGTGAAATTTTTTCTATTTCTAAACTATATAATGAACGTTATATTGGGTATAATGGAAAAACCGCAGCGTCTTGCCCTTAGAAATATTATCACAATTCAATTTCATAATAGGCATTTTTACTCTAGAACCAAAATTGAGCGAGTTATACTCAGACTGCCTAAACGCGTTTTGTCTATGTCGTACGTGTGTAAGACGGAGACAACACATGCGGGTGTAGCGTCCTCTTAAGTATAATTTTCGTTAAAACTTAAATGTAAGATTTACAAAATTATACATTTTATTTTTGAGCGAAACGGTAAAAAGCTAAGTACGACGATCCAACTATAAAAACTTGAAATGGTTTTCTCATGGCCAGTCCAGTACCGATAACTATTGTGCAACCGAGTTTTGCAGTTAAAGGTAAAATAATAATCAACATGTTGTAAACGATCAGTTAAAATAACGAAGTGACTTTATACGAGTAGGTATATTATATACATCAAAGTTAAAACAATTAGATTTAAAATTAATTATATTGTAAATAATTTGAATTTAATATTTCAATAATTTTTTAATGTTTTTTTGCGAATGAAAATAATGACCCATTTAAGAATCTAGTCAAACTAAAATAATAGTATATTTGATTTTAATTCAACATATATTTTTTTTACAAAAACGACGGCCTAACTATGCGCACAGTAGCGGTATTCTGTAACTCGATAAGCCGTTATCGACAAACGTCGTTAACGAGTGCTTTTCGAGTTTCACGTTATGTATCGAATTTCGTTAACGAAAATGCGATTCTGTAATATCAGTTATTCGTAATTTTTCGTTACAAAAATGGTTTTTGTGTTACGGATAATTTCGTTAACCTTATCAAATAATTCAAAGAGTTTCATAAAATTGACCAATCAAAAACTATCTTGATGATTGGTGATAAGCTATTTTTCTTATCATTACTTATATAAACATTGTAAAATAAAAAAATAGTAATAATATGATCTAATTTGTCTGTTGGCGACTGTTGCTGTTACTTGTTCACCCAAATCTTTAAGTTCTTAAAGTTCTTTTTTAGTTGAAAAGATGTCTAGTAATAGTGGACCTCCCACCAAAAAAAGGAGGCAAGGCCGAAGAAATAATGACCAAATTGATTATTTGGTTGATTATATGCTCCAACATCCAAATTTGGCATCTGGAAAATTTTTCAAAATGAATTCGAGAGATGCATTGCAGGGATCTTGGGAAGAGCTGGTAAAGGAATTAAATGACATGCGTAGTAGTGGACAGTCAGAAAAAAACGTCAAATCTTGGAAAGAAGTAGGTACAAAGGAGTGCGCAAAATTTTGTGTTGGGTGCCATAAGAGCCCACTTATTTCCCTCATTCCTAATATAAGAAATGCAATAAATAAAAAGTTATGTATATTGAAATGAAATGTATAGAATGGTCAGTCTTGTAAAGTATTTGAATACCAGTATTCATATAATTGTATTTGATATTTACCCCTTACCTATTAATTTATACCAAATACTAAATATTGGCCATTATATTCATTAGTATACATGAGTATATGTAATACAACATAATATATTATAACAATGATACCAGATCAATAAGTGTCTAATAAAGAATACTCAATAGACGGTATTATGTATTAAATTTACATAACTGGAATAGCAGATGTATTTCACCACCCACCGATCAATGTTCTTGTAGACTTCAAGCTTCTAACATAAATATTTTATGTACAAAAACTAGTCATGGAGAGATCAGAAGACTAAGACATCCAAAAAAGTCGGTGCTCTCAGAAGTGCAAGGATGGAAACTGGGAACAAAAAAAATAATTTACCTCAGCTGTCAGATTTAGACACAAAAGTTCTAAGTATAATCGGGAATGATTACGTTTCAGGGACATCGTGTCCAGAGTCATGGCCGGATGATCAGGTATTTTATGAATACACATTAAAAATTATTAATTTGTTGGTAAATGATAACATATACCTAATATTGATTACTAATGTTTGGTAACATAATACTAACAGTTTTGCATGCACTCATCAATCTGTTTAATAACTTATGGAACTGGTTAATAATTGTTTGACTCAAATAACTTAGTAGCTTCTATTTGTCTTGAAAATATTATATCTTATATTTTTAGGAAAATAATGTACAAAGAATGGCTTTAGGTGATGAAGCTATTTATCTAGCTGAACCCACATCAATGAATATTGAAATAGATCAAGAAAACATTAACCAAGGTTTGTAATAACTAGGTACTACATAAGCTTATGTCTACTTGTTTGTGCTTCTCTTCCAACTTTATGGCCACCTTTGTATACAACACTTCCATAAGGCTCGTCCTTACCTCTTCTTTACTAGGGCCACCTATTATCTATAATTTGTTCAAAATCTTCATACTAGGATTCATTATTCATAATATATAATTCATATATTATGCACCCTTGCCTTTAAATATGTGTACAAAAATACTTTTATTCCATTCCTTCGATATCTTAACTTCTACTAACATCTTATTAAAAAAAAACCTGCTAAATGCCTTATGCATAAGTTAATAAACATCATCCATATCTCTAACTGGTACTCTTGGTCCTAACGCTTTCTTCTTTTTCATCTTTCTAACCGCACTCCACACTTCCCTCGCACTAATAAGTCAATCATACCCAAATTCCAGGCTATATAAGCTTATGTAGGTACTTATTTAAATTAAATTTCAATGTAGGAGATAATATGGGCGCAGATCTAGAAAACGTAGAAAATGAAACCATAAGTTGTAGTTTCAATAACGAGGATGGTGAATTTACTGCACCCACTGCAAGTCAACAAATCCATAAGACTGCTGATATAAGGGACTTGACAAGTTCAAAAAGACCAAGTAAGTTAGAGTGTTAATTACAACATACATTTAAAAAATCTATAGGTATTTGAAAAATAATAAAACTTTAAATGACTCTCCTGAACATTTTGGTATTTGTGGCATATCATATTTAATTTAATTTAAAACTCAAATGTGGCCACTGATTGTACCAATAAATAAAAATTAATTTTTTCTTTGTTTTAAAAATTATCATTGTTTTTTTTTCAATAATTTTTTTTTCTAGGAATGGTGAAGCAAAAACTTAGCACTCAGTTGCAGGCGGCTAGAAATTCCTTCAATACAATTGCAGAAAAACAAGCTGATGCTATGGCATTGATGGCAGATTCCTTGTCGGTCATTGGAAAAGCCCTAAATACAATGGCTGATAACGATGCCAAAAGAACTGACAACGACATGAAGATGATAGCACTATATGAAAAAATATTGGAAAAACTGTAGCCTTAACCAATATTTATGATAATATAAGAATATAAGATGTTAGTTTATTTAAGGTAAAAAATTGTTAAAAATCTAAAAAATGTTATCTATTCAAAGACAAAGTACCTATGTTATTCTTTTATTTTATTGTTAAATACTATACTGTTAAATAGTTTATTAAGGTAAAAAATTGTTAAAAATCTAAAAAATGTTATCTATTCAAAGACAAAGACCCTATGTTATTATTTTATTTTATTGTTAAATACTATACTGTTAAATAGTTTATTAAGGTAAAAAATTGTTAAAAATCTAAAAAATGTTATTTATTCAATACAAAGACAAAGTATGTAATTATTTTTAATTAATTCAATCATCCTCTTCCCCATCTCTTAAATGATCAAATTGATCTAGAATATGTTTTTGAATTCGTTTAGCCACCGCTCTGGGTCCACCTTGTTGATCAATACGAGGTATTTCTATATTTTCATATATATTTTGACCAATTTGTTCACCAGCTAACTCTTCTTCAAGGATTGGTAAATTATAATGGATTCGCATATTATGTAGAGTGGCACAAGCATTTACAATTCTACCTGCTTTATCAGGAGCATACATAAGAACTCTTTGATAGGAAAGACACCTCCAAACACTTTTAAATACACCAAAAAATCGTTCTACCACATTTCTGGCCTTACAAAGATTTTTGGTGTATTCAAATTGACGTGTACCTTCCTGATAATGAGGTAATGGTGTCATGAGCCATGGTTCTAATGGGTATCCAGCATCACCTAGGCAAAATAATTACATGGGTAAGCAATGATCACTTGGAAATTTAAAATTGGTATATAATTTACATACTTATAACATGACTTACCAATTAACCATGTACGACGTTCTCCATTGTTATAATGAAATTCCATTCCACGTCGTACGGCAGACATACTCCATATATACGAGTCGTTGCGAGCCCCAGGATACCTTGGATTTATGTTCAAAATTTTCAAATCCGGGTCAACAATCTTATAAAAAAAAATTCATAATACTAGTTTTAAATTTCATAAACAATATTTATTTTACACATAACAGGTAATACTTACTGCTTGAACGTTGAGCGAATGATTGCCATGGTGATTAACGTATGCCTCTTCATGGACAATTGGAGCGAGAATATTAATATGGGTACAATCAATTGCTCCTAAAGTACCTTCAAAAGGCTGGGGTGCAGCTTCAAATTTTTCTCTACTTTTTTGTCGTTCAACAGCTGTCATTGGGAATTTTACCCACTGTCTCAAAAGACGCTGGTTAATAGCATTTGTCACACTACTAATAGATCGACTTACAGATGGCTGGCTTATGTTAAGGATAGAATTACCACCCAAACCTCTTTGGTAACTACCTTGAGCATAAAAATGAACAGTAACTAGGAACTGAAAAAAAATACAGATACATATTTAAAACACATTGACGGACAGTAATTTAGCAGTAATTTACAATTTTGAAGTTAGGTGGCATTACTGCTATAGCAGTTATGTGAAACATTTTATATTATGGCATTACTGTTATAGCTGTACTTATTCTAATGGTATCAAATGAGAGTAGACATTAGACTGCCGCATCGTGTTAGGTTAGATAAATTCACTGACATATTATATATGGATCTTATATTTTATATATTTTCTAGTTTTAATAATTTTGTTACTGCTATAGCAGTAATAAAAAGTTTGTGCGTTTTAAAAGCAGGTTATAGGAATTTAGATAAATGAAAACTGTCCGTCAATGTGTTAATAGACACTTTATTTACATAAAAGAGGAACAAATTGTAATTACATAGCAGTCTTGTAAAGTATGTGAGTAATAGTATAAAGTATAGTTATAACTATAGTTATTTAGAACACTTTTTAAATACTTTTTAGATATATCTGTATTTGAAAATCAAATACTTATCAAAATTGAAACAAAATTAACTTACTTGCACTTCTGGAGATAATCCTGAAGAACGTTTACCTTGTAATAAAGGCCTAATAGCATTTATCACGTCAAATGCTAGTTCGGGACTTATTCGAAACATAAATAGGAATTCTTCGCGAGGGAGATCAAAAGGATCTTGTGTATCTCTCAAAACCCTTCTTTCGATTCGCCGTTCTTGTAATCTAACTCTTTCCTCCAACAGCATCAGTTCCCACCTTAAAAATTCTAGAGCCATGACGTGTATCTGAGAGAACGATCGTACTAAGAAGTTAGACAAAGCTAAGTAAGTCACTTTTTTCAACTAGGTATCGTACGAATGCACGAAAACAGATCAATGATAACACGAAATATGACCTTTTTACTCTTATCCATCCCCGGTAAGTATTAACGAGGGGTCTTGGTGGGTGTATTAGGTTAACGATATTTTATTTTCACTATCGACAATTTTAACGAAAATAGTTGTTAAGTTAACGAATATCTGTAGTACAGAATCGCATTTATCGATAATATTCGATAAGAGAATTTTCGTTAGCGTAACGAATCGAAAGTTGTCGTTAAGCTAGCTTATCGAGTTACAGAATACCGCTACAGAGGTCATACGTTACAGGAAAGTGCAATTGACCTACACCGTACACAATATTATAACAAAAGTAAACTTAAACATAACAGATAAATAAATAGGGAATAGTACTTGTGGCATTTGAATATTTTTTTTCAAGGTGACAAAAATAGCAGAGTACGAAATATGTTTTCACGAATCTAGTTTTGAAATTTTATTTTGTATATAAATGCATAAGTTTTTTTGGGGGGAATATTTTTTCAATTTTATACTTTTGGAGACGATACGTTTTACCTTAATTATATTAATTTTTTCTCCACTGGCCTTTTTATATTAAATAGTTCAACCAAATTATACAATTTTAGTTCATTTCAAAATATGGTTTCTAACTGCCCGCCGGCGCCTAGTTTTTCCTTTACTCGATTCGGTGAGAGAAGGAACTCGTTTCGCGATGTCGCTGACGGCGTTTAACGACCTGTGGCGTTATTTCTCCTAATCAAACATAGTTTGTTGTTGTAGTACTATATAACTGCGAAATGTTTGAGTGAAGGAAATGGTGCCCCGGGCAGGAGCCGCCGCCCCCCAAGCTAGTGATGAGAAAATTCCCGGGACTATAGTTTCGGGAATTTCAACCTTAAATATAATAAGTTTTTAAATATTTATCATGGGTTTCAGTTTTAAATTAAACTTATGGTTGTAAATGATCCAAATGACATCTCTTTATTGATATTATGTCAGTTTAGATATTGATTCTTTAAAAAAAAGTTATTAAGTAACTATAATTTATTTTTTTAATTAAAATCTGTACAATGATCACAAAATAAAAGATCCAACTTTCATTTATATATGTTGAAAAAATAAAAATAAACATACTGAAGTTGAAATACTGAATAACATAAAAATAATAAATTTTTTTTTTGTCATAACGATCGCGAGACGAGTTCCTTGCTTCTCTCGTAGTATAGAAGCGATTTAAGATCGCTGATAAGACGATAAGATTGATTTGCCGTGTATTGATATTGCAATATTGAATAGATAATCGTTCACGACGTGGTGTCGTATTACCGGAATTTAAAGATATTACTGAAAACAAGTTTGTACAGATAACTAAAGTATGTCCTTATCTAAGGAATATGTTGTGTGTCTCTTAATCACTAATTAAAATAATCGCCTATCCCGAATTGCAAAGTGATATCTTTTTTATCAATATCAATACGATAATTATTACTTATATATAGATACATTATACTTATGTATTTTCTATTTACTCGACACTGTAGATAAGTAATAGTTAAAAGTCAATAAATATAAATGTTTTGACTTTTGAACATAAAACATTTAATGAAATGCCGTGTTAATTTTGATAAATTTATTTTAATTATTTATTAATTGTGTTATGAATATTTAATTATTCGTAGTATGACGTACTGATCCAGAACAATAATATATCTATTTTTAGTTTTTTAGTGTTGTAATTAGAAAGAAATACATTTGTTAAGAATACAACAATAGTAGGTAATAACCAGGGCTCAGGACTTAAAGCATTTGCTTATTTTTATGGACTGAATTAAAATGTAGCAGAGTGCTATGAAAGTGCATGTCGTGTTATAACACGTTAAATTATGAAATTGAAATGTTTTTTTTTTTGTTTTTTAAAACGATTTTTCAAAAAAATGTTTAACAGTTTTTCTGGTTGTTTTTGCTTTTTTTGATCAGTTTTTCTAATTGTTGTGGTTTTATCCTGCAAAGTGGTTTTTGATAGAATTAAAATTAAATGCAATAATGACGGTAAGATTTAATTAATAAATTATTTTTTTTTTCAACTATTTGTAATTAACGTTTACATTTTATTTTTAAGAAAATCCCTCGGAAAATCCATAAACAATTATGCAAAATGTCACGAAAGTGAAGTTTGATTTTTTAATAATATAAAGATTTATTTTTTATTTTTTAGTTACAAACTTTTTTTAATCATTATTCTTAGCACAGTTATACAAATTATGTCTAGTACCTACTTTATCATGAAAAATATTTATTTTTTTTGATTAAATAGTTTTGCTTAAATTTATGTTTTTTAAATGCTTATTTGAGTGCTTATAATGATGTTTTTAAGCGCTTATTTTAAAGATATTAAGTGCTATAAGTCCCGAGCCCTGGTAATAACAATCGTATTTACTAATGAAGAAGATTCAGCAATAAGAAATATTGTTATTTAACTTTGGATTCTATTTTACCATTTTTAACACTTTATTGGTAAATTTACAGATATTTTTTTTACGTAAATTCTCCATTTCTATATAATTTGATATAAATGCATAGGTATCTTGTTTATTCGAATGCACGCGTTTGGTGAGTTTTCTAAGTGACCTTAGTGTTTTTTTTTGCCTTTATATGTGATTATAGTTTTGATATAAGTACTTTGTAGTTTACAGTAGATATAACTATTATAGTGAATTTCGTAAAAATTGTTTTATACGGCAATACGACGCTAGTAGCGAGCTCAATAATTTTACTAAATTAAAACTTATAATATGTATAGAATAACAAAATATATTAAATTTTAAATAACACCGTCGTCTTAAGCACATAAAATATATACTTAGGTTAAAGAAAGAAAAAGGTGGGTAAGTGGATGTCGCTTTGCTGTGCAGTAGGTTAAAAGTGGGCCACTGTAAAATGGATTTTATTAAATTTGATTCAATAATATTGTACATGAAAAACGGTCCTGAGCGGTGACGGTTTGTCAGTGTAGATATTTTAAATTATATTTATATTGTTATTAGGTACTATTATTAATACGGTAGCCGGTAGGATGAATTAATACTATAAAATTACAATAAAATAACTTAAATCGTTATTCTTGGTTATTTAATATGTAATTTTCTCCAAATTTGAACATAAAATAACTATAAAAAAATCTGTGTTTTATATTTTTGAGATTTTTTTTTATTTACAGAATAAAATACTTACGTTTAACATTGTTGTAATTTTCAATCCTCAGGTATGAAACTTGAACATTTTATACATTTTTAAAAACAAAATCATTTTTTAATTTTAAATTTGTTAAATGTTGTACAAAAATGAACTTTTAATGCTTATAAAATAAAATGTGTATGTACTTTTAATATTTTTCAACTAATATTATAACAATATATTAGGAGCTTTGTATTAACCATGATTTAACGAATACAATTGTATTAACATTTATAGAAAAAAAAACTAAAAATATTGTAAACAGAAAATGTCCGTAAACAGCTCTAAACTAGTCAATATATTTTGAAAATCGTATCAATTGATAAAATAAACATATGATATAAATCTCAAGTGTTTAAGTTTATTGGTTTTTGAATTACAACAAAATAAGAAAATAGCTACATGCGGAATCGAACGAAAATCCAATGTTGTAAAAATTTGAAATTCAACCTCTCATAAAAACTTTATTTTATTTTCTTTTAGACTTCTTTTTTTTTTTTGATAATGGTAAAAAACTTAAGAGGAAACTTGTATTAAATTTTCAAAACTTTGATTTAAATAAAAGAAAATTTTTATGAATTTCTAGGTCAAAATAATTTGCATATTTTCGTTACTTTTACGTAATTTGTGAATATTTGAACTTTAAACGCTATTATAACAAAAAATTGTGAAATTGGATTTTTATATTTTTTCATACACCATAGAAACAATATAATATTATTAGCCTTGTATTAAATGTTCAAGATTTTTACCCAAAAACAAAATTGTATTGATATTCATAGAAATAAAAACAATAAAAAAATTATATTTTAATATTATATTAGTGCTAAAACATGCCTATATTTATATGAAAATGTATATTATATTTATATTTTATGGGGTAGGTACTAAGAATGTATTGTCACAATCAATGGCGTGGAGAAGCAGTTTTTTTGAGCAGTGGCTCCGTTGATTTTTCACCAACAATATTCACTTTCCCAATGAACAACTTACAGAAGTTGAAAATTGAAGCATTTCGACTACATTTCGAGTACACAGACCCAAAAGAAACACATCATTGCAAAACCAATACATTCATCGTTCCACTAAGAATCTAAAATTCCGGAATTCTGTCGTAAGTTATAAAAATCAATGTGTAAATCAAACTTCTTTTACAACATGGGGGGGGTGGGTGGCTGATCACTCTTCGGTTCTCTTTTTTCAAATAAATGTATATTTTGGGTATACGAATTCACGTTTGGTGGCTTTTTATGGCTATAAGTCCTCCGTTCTATAATATTATAAATATACAATATAGCGGCAAGGAGTTGCCTGGCATAGAAAACGAACACCCCCAATAAAACCCTTATCGCCGACAAAAATGACGTATATTATACTACGATCACGGATTAAGAAATCGAAACACGGGTGGCCTTCTTATGCGTTCTGCCATAGAAAATTATTATTGATGGTTGTAGTAAAAGGTCTTTGCCGGAGAAAAATCTATACAATATAAGAACCGAAAAAACCTTGATAAAGCACCCTGCTGCTGCCACTCTCATTATTGTAAGTAAAAATTATATCCGTTTTTTCATTGACGTCCCCGACGACACTTTTTTTGTGGCGTCACTACGTACGGACCAGATGTATTCAAACATATTCATTCCACGCAGCTCCTTCGTCTCTTCACAATATATTTTTGTGTCTCTCGAATTACCAAGGGT